CATCCCACCCCAGGGGAGGACATCCACAAAACAGCAATCTCGTGCATCGGAAATTAACGTCTCCTACCCCCAACCCTGCAGGAGACGGGGCCTACGGTTTATTCGTCCTTATCCGAGAAGACTAGAATATCTATCCATTTTTTGATTATAGAAAGGTAGCAAATTCTCCTCACTTATTTTAAGACCATGAGTATCGGTCCGGCCGGGGCTCGAACCTCGACCTCCCGTACAACACAATCTGGCGCTCTAACCGGGAGACTTCGAGTTGGAGATCCAAGAAGGGGGAAGAACTAAACAATTTCCCTCATGAGGAAATTCCACCGAGTGTAACCCAGTTCTCAAGTACCATGCGATTTACATGGGACCTTACTTTCCTACTGAGACACAAGAAACCTTGATCAAGAAAAAAAAAGCTCGATATTGATTATTTCAAGAGAAAAGCATTAATAGGGGTACTTAGCCTTTTACCTTAATCCTTTCTCGAATTGATCCTTTTATCAGTGACAAGCTAGGATTTCTTTAACCCTTTTAGGTTACTTCCCACCTTCAGAGGCCGAAAAATGGTTTTTTTCTCTTATTGGACTAGATTCAAGTTAGACATTTTACCGAACGTTTACAAATATAAAAAACTGAAAATATCAAAAAGCGTCAAACTCATTTAGGGAAACATATTTTTAAATAAAAGTTAATAAATCAGGAAGGTGTCATAATCACGTAAATGGGCGAACCCCCCGTGTGAATAATGCGGCATTTTCACGTTATTTGCATATTTTGTTTTACCTCGGGCACTTGATAACATTCACACGTGGAGGTTCTCTGCTAGTAGAAAGTCCTTTCTCATAGATGAAAAACATAAATCAAAATTAGTGAGGAGTCCTTCGGCAAAGAAAAGGAAAAAACCGGCCCAAAGAATAGAGAAATGGCACCATTTTGTCCGGAGAAAAAAAAACAATCCTGGCACTTCTCTCCACTCCAAATTGCGAACAAAGAAGTCGCTAAAGAAGTCACTTACATTTGTCGTACATAAGGTTAAGTTTCCTTTCAATAAGTACCGGCCTTGATACAAAACATAGGCAATCGCCTCGAATCGTATGAAATCGGGAATAAACCTATACCAGGGAATTCATTCAGCGATAAGGGTATTTCTTAAGCTGTCTGTAGATTCATTGTTTTGCTTTTCAGCAAATTTTCAAGCTTTACCCTTTTTGCCGCGAGTTTTTCCTTTGCCAACTTTGCCCTTTACTAAATGTTCAACAAAGCGAGATAAAAAAAAAGCGTGAGTGCTATGCGATACTTTTCCCGAGAAAATCTTGATCCATCGTCCTTGACGCCAGTAGGTCCCGTCCGGAATTTCAATTATCCTGTTAACACTACAATAAGAAAGAATTTTTTGCAATTCTTGCACAATTAACAGTCGCTTTGATGTATTTAGTTTCTTTTAATAGTCTAGAATAATGCAAGTGGGATATCCAGCGCAGCAGTCGTGGACATTTTTATGTGACGTAAGTACCAGTCGCGATTAAAATTATGTTAGAACGTGTCAATCAGTCATGTTCCGGCAGCACTCTGACGTTCATCGAACGACGGGTGGCCGTCACCGCCAAAAATACAAGGATGTCAAACAGATCAGTAAATACAAAGATGGTTTAAGGATCAGCTACAGGATAGCATAGCTAATAAAAGAATGGCTTGGCCAAATTATAGACAGTTTAGTTTTCCTTCATGAAACAGAACATCCTAAACACAAATAGTTTAGCCAAATGATAAACGGTCTAGTTGCCCATGTTGAGTTGAACATGAAATTGTGAAATGGGCTAGTTAAATTGCGAATAGCCCAGCGCTCATTTGCAATACAGTACACAAACGGTATGGTGTTGCGTCAAATGACTCAGGGTAATATCGAGTAGCACAGCGTACGCACAAACGGTGTAGTGAAATTCGATATGGCTCAGCGTAATGTCGAAAGGTACAGCGTACGCACAAACGGTGTAGTGAAATTCGATATGGCTCAGCGTAATGTCGAAAGGTACAGCGTACGCACAAACGGTGTAGCGTTGCGTTGAATGGCTCAGCGTAATGTCGTATGGTACAGCGTACATGCAAACAGTGTAGCTTTGCGTGAAAAGGCTCAACGTAATGTGAAATGGTACAGCGTACACACAAATGGTGTAACGTTGCGTGAAATTGCTCAACGTAATGTCGAATGGTACAGCATACATACAAACAGTGTTGCGTTGCGTGAAATGGCTCAGCGTAATGTCAAATGGTACAGCGTACACACAAAGAGTGTAGCGTTGCGTGAGATGGCTCAGCGTAATGTAGAATGGTACAGCGTACATACAAACAGTGTGGCGTTGCGTGAAATGGCTCAGCGTAATGTCGAATGGTACAGCTTACACACAAATGGTGTAGCGTTACGTCGAATAGCTTTTCAGAACATCAGACGCTCTAGCTGAACATTAAATTGCTTAGAGTTACACGAAATATTTCGTTGTTGTGGCCAATCGTCGAGCTTGCTTGTGGCGTGACGTAAAGGCTATCTCGCCGAAACCACCAAAAATACAAACCGCAAATGGAACAGCGATCTGCTGGGAGGCATGACGTCATCGAATGTGATGACTGGCGCGAAACCATCACATAGTGTAGTCGCCATGTTTAAGAGTCTTCACTTCGCCTTGTCGTAAAGTAGAGGCAATTCGGTAGGTTTCTCCTCTTTATTTTTCCCTGCATGGAAGCGTTAATTAAAATAGCAACGAGACTGATTTCCACCCCGGTTTGGCGGCCTCCCGGTTTACCACAATCAGTTTGCACGCGTTGGTGAGCCTGAATGTTCATAGAATTAAGTAGTGTTATGACTTGCATTGAATGTCGATTGCCGAGCTCTCTTCTTCTTTTCTGACTCGCGCTTACTTTTCACTGAGAGTTTAACTGCAAAGGCTCTTTGAACATTGCAAGAGCGCGTGAGAAGTTGGATTTTGTGTGTGTCTTGGACGCCATGGTAAGAAAACTGATAGGCTTGATCTGTTTTGTAATTTTTCAATAAAACACGTAGTTACGTATGATGCACGATCCTCGCAGTAGATAGCGCTATTTAAGCAATAGCGAAAATCAGACCTGAAAAAAATCAGGCCTGTACCGGATTCGAACCACTGACCTCTGCGATACTAGTGCAGCGCTCTTACCAATTGAGCTAACAAGCCAACTGGGAGCGGGCCGATAAGTTGATTCGTAATAAACCCGTGAAAGTGATAAATCAGTACAATGAAATATATGAAGTTCATATATTTTGAACTGCGGTATTAGATACGTATGATTGACGATCGTGCATCATACGTATCACGGGCCACGCAGGTATGTCAAGCAACTGGCGCTTACGCTTACGTAGCTTTCTGTGCGCGCCAAATTCTACTCGTTGCTTTGTAGTAAAGTCTTTCGCAATATGGCCAAGGTTGCAGAGAACGTTAAGTACGTGGACGACCTCCAGCAAGCGCTTAAAGAAAGCTTAGCTGTGTTTCCGATTAGCTAATTAAAATCTCTTG